AAGTTCCTAAGTTGCTCTTTGTCATGAAAGTATCTTAATTCTCCACCTATTTTGAAAGATAATTTTGAAAGGTACATCAATCTGGGTTGGAGGTTGTCTTCCTTTAGGGATTGGAATACATCACTCTAAGCTCTTCTTACCTTGAGGGTTTGCACTGAGAAGTCTGCTGTGATTCTGATGGGCTTTCCTTTGTACATGATTTTTTTTCTTTTCTCTAACTTCTTATAGAACTTTGTTTTTCTGTTGAGTTTCTAGAATCTTAACAATTATATGCCTATGTGTAGATTTTTTTTTGATCAAGGCTTTTTGTAGTCCTGTATGCCTCACTTATCTGTATATCAAGTTCTTTTCCCCTGCTTGGGAAGTTTTCTGCCATTACTTCTGTGAAGAGTTTTTTTATGTCATCTGTACTCTCTCTTGTTTCTTCTTTGACTCCAGTCAGTCTTATGTTACTCTTCTTTGCATTGTCTAGCAGCTGCTGGATTGATTTCTTGTGGTCCATTATGATTTTGAAGCAATATTTCTTTTTCTGGTCACTGATTGCAATCTTATCTTCTATGTCTGAAATTCTGTCCTCTCATTGGTTCATTCTGCTGTGTAGATTTTCAGTGGAGTTTTTGATCTCCTGGAAATCTATTTGCATTGGTTTTATGAATTCCACTTTTTTTCCTATGTTGGGATCCCATGATGTTCCTCAGCTCCTCTATAGATTTATTAATCATGTCTTGCACTATGAGCACAATCTCTGCTGTTATCTGAGAAATTATTTCTGATTTCATTTTTACAGATCCTCTTTTGTTGCCAGTTCAGGGAGTCCAGGTGGTTGAGCATCAGAGCGTTCCATCTCATTTCCCTTTGGTGTTGCAGTAGGTGATCTGGAAGTCTGGTTTTGAGACTTGTTTACATGTCTTCTCATTTCAACACAGGGTGTGGGGGGTGCTGTTGGCTCCCATCGGGCTTGCCTCCTCTGAGCTGTGAGCTTTGGGACAGTGACTCAGAAGCCCCTTCCTCTGGGCTGGGTGCAGCAGGATGGATAGTGGCCCAGAAGCCCCTTCCTCTGGAGCAGGAGCACGGGGATGGACAGAGGCCTGGAAGCCCCTTCCTCTGGGCCAGGAGTTAGCCACCCAATTTTTGACAAAGACACCAAACACCTTCCCTACAGTAAAGGAGCAATGAACACCTCTGCTCTTGTTTCACAAAATGGTACAAGAAGAGCAGTATCCACAGCTACAGCAAAGTCCCAACATTTCTAGTCAGGAACTCTTGTGCCCTTTTCTGATGGCAAACTGTATAAATACATTAACATGAGATATACAAACATAAAACTGTACAAACACCTAAAGTAAACACTGACAAGTAAAAATACATACATGTGCTGGCACCTTCTCCCATGGTTCCTTTCATTTCTTGAAATACATTGTTTTATGACATACTGGACTTCAGCATTTTTTCTGAGAAACTTGATATTCTAATGGGTTTGTCTTTATACATGACTTGACATTTCTTTCTGTCCCTTTCAATATTCTTTCTTTGTTCTGTACTTTTGGAAGTTCAATTATATCATGTCATTGAGATGTTCTTTTCTGGTGATGTTTATTTGGGGGTCTGAATGCCTCCTGTACCCACTTCTGCATACCTTTCCCAATACTTCAGAATTTTTTTGTGATTATGTCACTGAATAGATTTTCTATGACTTTATTTTGTACCTTGACTTTTTCCTTGCTCACTCTTATAATTTGTTTAGTCTTTTTAACCGGTGCCCCATGTAATTTAGATATTCTTTTCATGTTTTCTTATTTTTCATTATTGTGTGCATGTAATAATCCATTAATCTTGTCCTGAAATACTAACATTCTTTCCTTCTGCTAGATCTGTTCTATTAGTGAGGTTTCAACTTAATTTTTATTATCTTTATTAAGCTTTTAATTTCCAAAATTTCTACTTGGTTCTTTCTCAGAGTCTCGTTTCATTCAGTTGTTCTTTCACAATCTATGTTTACTGCCTTAACTTACTCATCTGTTTGTTTGTATCCTCCTTGAATTTATTGACCATTTTTCATATTACTCTTTTCAAATCTTTGGCATTTTATCCTCTTCAGTACCTCTGGTGTTCATTACTAGAGAGTTATGAACTTTTGGAGAAGTAATGTTGCCTTCCTGGTTCATATTTCTTGTGTTTCTTTTTGAAATATTTTCATTTTGGGTATGGATATCACTTCCACTTTTATGTGAATGCCTTCTAGATAACAGCCTTCTCACAACAATGTGTTCTAGAAAAGCAAATTATTACTTAATATTGAGATTAATTGTAAGTAAATTTGGTAATGTAGTTTCCCTGTTGCTTCTTTAGCAATAGGGATTAGTCAATTTTAGCATAGTATGTACTGAGTCAGAGCAACAGGGTCCCAATTTCTTTGTGGATCTCGCAAAGTTGGGGTCCCTCTGGTAGTTCAGGAAGTTGTGCTGCAGACACCCAAGCATATGAGGTACACATTCTGTGGTCATTCTTCCACTCCTGTCAGCAATATGTGGACTGATAGGTCATGGGTAAAACCTATGTTGGGGTTTATATATATAATAGGTTATATTCCTAGGTGCAAGTTACACAGTCTTTGAGTTGCATTTCTCTGCCACTATTGGGTTGAATACCAGGAACACATCTTCAACCTCCCCCACCCAGCCATGCCTGCCTGGGGCGGGTTTATTGGCTGGAGACTTTTATCTTCCCTATTCTCTAAGTTGAAATATTCACCAAAATTCAAGTGGCTCTGGGTCATAGGTGGAGTAAGGTGTAAGTTTTTTAACTGGGCTGAGAGTCTGGCTCAGTAGCAGAGCAACCATCCAACAGGTGTGAAGGGTCAGTCTCTTAGCTGCAGCAGCACATAGTGAGAGGAAAAGACATAACAAAAACTACAAGAAATAAAAGCAAACCAGATACAGAAATAGAGCAAAACCAGTTAAAAATGACCGAATCCTTTTACTCTGAGTAATATTTTGGCTATTCTTTTAATATTATGGTATGCAGCATACTAACTATTGTTATTCCTAATTATGTTTTAAAATTTTGTTTTATTTTTCCATAGAAGTAAGGAGTGCTTTTCTTTAACATTTTCTTTCTTATTATCTACATTAAAATGAGAAAATATAAAACTGCAGTATCCACAGCACCACTAATAAGATGAATGGTGGAGACAAAACTAATATGGCATAAACTGAAAAGTTGATCAACTTTTAAAAAAGTTAATTAAGAGGGAAAAAAAAGGAAAAAGGAAAGCCCCAAAATTAGAAAATTCGAAAAGAAAAGGAAATGCAGGTGAAAGGAGAAATTGAAAGCAAATTCTTTCAAAATATAAATAAAGACAATTTAAAAAATATTGAATATTAAGAGAAAAATGAAACATTTAAAAATATGTATGTATAAATGAACCAAACATCAAATACCAAAAGAGGGGGTCTTAATAATAAAAATGAGAGTACTGCCTCTGCAAAGGCTGAGGATTATTTCCTCCTTCCTTATTTTTGTGTGCTTGCCTAGATTGGGAACATTTTTGGACTAAAGCCAGTTGAAATTATCTGTCAGCTCTTCTGTTCACCCGTTCCTCTGGTGGGAACTTACTCCAAGAACTTAGCTCAATGAACTCTCAGGGCTGGGCTGAAACTGCTGTAGTGTGTCTGGGTCTCCAGTGCCCTTTGTGAAGCCTACTCAGAGGGGAGGGCAGCTACTTACACTGGCAGGACCCACACAACCTATCACTCACAACTCCAGGCTTCTGAGACCCAGCTGACATAGCCACTTACAGGGTAAGTGAGTTGCACTCCCTTCCACACCACCAGATGCTTTGCCACCGCAGCACAGTGTGTTTTAGCAGGTTTGCTTCAGTGGCACTGCCAAGGACCAAACTGGATCTCAAGGTAGGAAGCCACTTTCTGTATGTCCCCAAGAACAGGAGAAAGCAGGGGTCTTTATTTCCAAAGCGGTGAGCTCAGACAGAGTGTTTTCAAAATGGCCCCTATTCATCACTCCGGGCATAGTTGGGGAGTACAGGAGCTTTTCCAGCACCAGCTCACTATGTGGATCCCAGATCAACTGTTTCACATCACCTTTATTAGTTAGCTTTTAGTTGCTGGCACCAATTCCCGACATACAGAAAACACACATAAAAGAGGAAGCACTGACTTTTTCTTATGGTCTCAGAGGTTTCGGTCTGTAGTTGCTGGCTCCAAGGCAGAAACAGAATGGTGGAAGGGCCTGGGAGGCAAAGTTGGTTAGTTCAAGGCAGCCTGGAAGCGGAGCACTGCTGAAGAACACTGCGAAGGAAAAGGGCTGGAAACCAGACACAGTCGCCAAGCTCACTTTCCTGTGGCCCACTGCACCCCGGCTCCCCATGACACACTGGGAGTGTGCCTTAGGAATCTGCGAGGCATCTACAAATCCAGCCCAGTCGCATTTATAATTGACGGTCCCATTGCCCTTCTGTTAATTGCTGATTTCCATGCTAGTTGTGCTTACTGACCCTCTCTCTTTCTCCCTCTGTGTGGGCTGCCCTCACCCTCCACCTCACTGCCTTCGCTTGTTCCCCGGGCACTTCTGCTCCGTTCCATTCTCCACTCTGAGTTTCTCCAAGTCACTGTCTACTCTTGGGCTTTAGCGCTTTCTCAGCGTCACTTACCTTGTTGCATGGCCTGTCTCTAGTTTTGATTTGCTTCCAATTCATCATTTTGAAACTATTTTTAAATAAGAAAAATGTGTTAGATATACCTTCGGTAATCCTACTGAACAAATATTAAGTAATTGATATGGGTAAATTGATTTTATCCTCTTCTTGAAAATATTGTATATAATCAATCTATCATTAGCATTTATCTGCCTAAGTATGCAATAATAAATCATAAGTGATTTTAATACTCTTTAGAATTATTATTTATAATAGCATTTAAATTCCAAAATGAGTTGTAGTTATTTTTGTAGATTAAACTACCTAAAGTTATCTTGTATTTTAGGTTAGTGGGATGGTTTGGTCATGAACTGAGCACCAGATTTAAAATGGATAATAGTAAGTATACGGAATTTCATTTCAAATGTTATCTTATTTTAACTTTATTTTAATTTTCATCTGTTTTTGTATTATATGCCCTAGGAAGCGTGCTCTTTGAAAATGTCACTGAGAGTTCTTAAAATAAGAAATGACGTTTTCTGTGTGTGAGACTGTTTATAGATTTTACCATGATATTGAGTCTCTTCCTTTGTAGAGAGATAAAAGGAAATGAACCCTAATATACAGCTCATGCAGGATGGTCAGATCCCATCAACATGGTGTCCAAACACCAGGCAGTAAAATCAGGAGCGAATTTGTCACTTGAGGTCAGACCCTGAGAGACTGAGATGTCAGTCCAAATGGTTGCTTAACAGTTCTGTGATCCTGCAAATCAAAGTTATATTGAGGGGCCATCATTTTGTTGGTCCACATATCTAAGGAGAATAATATATATTTCAGGATTTGGATGACTGTATAACAAATTCAAAGCTATAAAATAAGTTACATATAGCAGTACTTCAAGCTCCAGTGGGTAAAACTGAAACTATGCAATACTGAAAGCATCATGAAGTGTTTTGAGGGTACAGCATAAACTAGATCCTTCAGAATACTGCCAATCCTGTGATACTATTTTAAATATACTTCAATGTTTATGAGTCAAAGATTCAGGATGGTCTCTTCCAGATAAATCAGGAAACCTGTGTGTTATCTTGTCCACTGAAATAATAGGCTCTGTTACGTCATTTATTTAAATTATTTGAGTTAGGGTTTTCTTCTCAGTAAATAAAGAAATTTGATTAGATCAGAGATAGAAAAAGTAGAAAATATTTTAAATTTTGAGTTATATAATCTCTCTGGCAAATGCTGAGCTTTGTATTGTGGTAGTGAAGCACCTTTAGGGAAACACAGATAAATGATTGTGACCACATTCCAATTAAACTATGTAAACATTATAGTTTGACTAGTCACATATTAAATGCATTTCTAAGGATCTATGAGTTTTCATCATTTTACCTTAATTCCTAAGTAGCTATCTTAACTATTTTGGATTTATAGGTGATTTGCTATAATTTATTGTACTAAATCTAATTATGATAATATCTGTTATTAATTTATCTTTTTAATATATCATACTTAGGTAGAGCTTTTCTTTTTATAAAGAATAAAAGAAGCTTCTTTCTTTTCCTTAAAAAAACACTGTAACTAATAACTCTAGAGCTAATAGTCACCTTATTAGGTCATGCTATTCATTGTTCTGCCTCTGGGTGACATTATAATTACATGTCACCCCAATCTTGCTGTTCTCTCTCCTGGCCAGTCTTCATAATAAGAAAGCAAAACATGGAGTAGATTAGGAAATGATGGCTTGAGACTCAGAAAGAGAGGGCAGGTTCCAGAAGAACTTCTAGAAGAGATCAATTTTATGTTGTGTGTAAGGGTTCTTGTGTTCCATGATCTACTGAGATGATGGGAGAGGGAAGACGGGAATCGCCATGGGGCACGGTAGGGGGGATGCTTGTGCCAGTTAATCTTCATTGTCAGCTTGACTGGATTAATACATTTCTGAGGAGGCAATTGAATTGTGAAGGCGTGAATCTCATCAATGTGTCAACCCAATGATGAGTTCAAAGCTGAATGAGCAATTAGAAGATGGAGTTCTTTAGAGTGAGTAGTTAGGGCATTACCTTGTGGACTGTATCTGTTCTCTGGCCCCTTCTGCTCTGGCTCTTCCCCTGCTGTCTGCTTCCTAGCTGTCACAAGTAAGCAATGCTGGCTGCCATGTTGTTTCTGGCACACCATAAATTAAGTCGCTTTCCCCAACAAAGCCATTACCCCTTGAAGACAGTTGACCATGGAATAAAACCTTGGAAACTGTGAGCCAAAATAAACCTTTCCTCCTTTAAATTGTGGGCATCAGATATTATGTTCCAGAAACGGAAAGCTAACCAACTCAATGCTAATATTTTCATTCCATAGAGTTTCTCTTGACTATCACAAAAATCCTGCCTAAGAATAAAAGTTTTATTTTTACTCTCACTCTTTTACTCTCATTTCTTTACAAATTTGGGGCTTCTTTTAATATATCTTCTATCATAGTGACCATTTATTAATTTTTTCAGAGCTGCAGTTAATCCCTGGGGTCAGTGGATTCCGAATTTCCAATCCTCCCATTTTGCTGGTCTGTTCCTTGCATGCCAATTTGGAGGTAGGAAATCTATGCTTCAGCTTTCTCACATCTTTAACTTTTCTCCCTACCTGGTTGTGCCAGATTGTTGTGCTTTCTCTGCTAATCAACAATATTATAAATATGCACTATGAATGAACAATGAGCAAAAGGCAGCATTTTTCTATTGAGATGGTGAATATAAGGTTATCATGTTTTTTTTTGGTATATCCCACCCCTATCATAGTGTTCCATACATTGTTGACTGTAAATAATACCTGGAACTGACCTGGAGAGACATTAGTTTGTTCCAGTTAGTGAAGTTGAATAAGTTGTTTGATCTCTGAGTTTTCTCTTTAAGCAAAATAAGCTTGTAATATTTAATTCTTCATCAATTCACTCAAGCAACAGGTATTTATTGGGAAAGTATTAGGGGGTCAGACATGATTACTGGAAATCTTGTTTCTTCTAGTTCCATGAACCAATGAATTGGAAATGTACTTTGTGACAAAGCTAAAGAAGACTTACTTTAATGTGGGAAGAGTGTATGAATAATTAGAATAAGCCAAATATTTTAAAAAGTTTGCCTCATTACACAAGGTAGATTTTTGCTTTATTTTCTGGGGCTTCTATGTCATATCCATGTATAATCTCTACTAATTTAAGTCAATATTTCATCTTAAATTAATTCATGTTTTGGCATAAATATAGTCTCACCCTAAAATTAACATTTATATAGTGAGTTAGGCTATATATGTAATATATATTGTATGTATAATATGTATGTTACATATACAGATGTCTATATTTTTAAGAGATAAAATATATGTACATATATAGAAAAACAAACTTATTTCTTTGTCATTATTTAGGGCTAGATTAAATTCATTCCTGTAAATATATGTTGTTAGTAATTATTGAGTATATGTTAATGATGCATACATTAAACATAATTTTATCTTACTTTTTAAAACAAATTTTCTTTTATCCCTTTCCCCCTCTCAAGACCCCTCCCCTCTCTATTTACAAAAGCTTTGCTTAAGCATAATTTTAAATGCATAGAGTAAAATATATTTTAGTAAGTATGCATAAATATTATGCACAAACAGAAGGGTTTTTGTTTTGTTTTCTGGAAATGGGAATTGAAGTCAGGACCTTGCACTTGTCAGGGCAAGCATGGTGCCAAGCTACATCCCTGGCTCATATATAGAGCTACTAAAAGAAAAATGTGAAGTTTTTTTTTTTTACAATATATTCTAAAATCATCTATTTTATGATATTTTAGTAAAACCTTGTGGGGGATTTCAGCATCAAATAAGGGACAGAGATAAAATTTATTCTAAATCTTGAATTCTGTAATTCGGTGAATATTCGTAGCAGTTTTTTATTCTGGTCCCTGGAGGGCAGTGTCAAATTCCTCTGTTCTCATACCGCCTTACCACTAGATAGTGAAAGTCTCACTTTCATTTCCCTCCAATTTAGAATGTACCTACCCATTTTGACCACTAGATGGGGAATGTGCTGTTTTCAAATTGGCTTTTTTTTTTTTTTCAATTGGAAAATAGCCCCAGGGACAAGATTTCCACCCATCAACACATTTTTCTTTTTAAAATTTTTTTTAAAAGAAAAATGTGATTACTAAGCCAGATGCCAATATTTGAGTTGCTTTATAATATCCATCTAGATAAATATTTTGTTTGAAGATTTTAAAATATAGCAAATTTCAACCAACTCTGCAAGTTTTTTCACAGAGAAGAGTTAAAATATGAAAGGCACCCAATCGTGCCTTGGGAATGACTGGCATAATGACTTGACATAATTTCCTCTGATTTTTCTTTTCTTTACAAAATGGCTTCTCAGACATACCTAAAAATTTTCTTTTGGAAATTCTCATTTTGATATGGTCCAGGCAGAGAGCTGGCTTTTCTCCCAACACACCTCCTGATGTGAGAAAGGAGGCAAATTCCTGATTCTCTTGCTACTAGTTTCCTACTACACCGTTTTAGACACTTAAGCAGAGTTTTCAACCTCAGAATCTGAAGACTGCTTTAATTTTTTCCCGCTAATATTAAACTTAAATCTACCAAAAGGATCCTGAAAGCCAAAAGAAGAGGGATGTGCATATCTCTGGAGTTTATTATCACTTCAGTACTTCTCTAGAATTTCCTGTAGAAGTCATTCACTATGAACTCTGTTATGACCAGAATTATCTTCAGTTGGTCAAGTTTTATATTAGTGGGAATGTTTTTCAAAATCCACCCTCTTCATGATAAATTATAACATTTTAAAATTACCCAATAATATATCCTTCTCATTCTCTGTTAAAATACCCCATTTTCTATACATTTCTGAGTTACCTGTCTGAGTCGGTTTATCATGTCAGTATTTACCTTATCTTTTAAAAACAATTATTCCCTTGTAAGTGATAATGTGAATGAACTTTGAATAAGTGAAAGGAATAAATTCACAGCCTCTGAATTGTTTCAACACTTTCCTTTCTAGAAATACTTACATCTGGAGGAGAGAGTGTGTACTTAAGGATTGATTTTGCATGAAAATGACCTCAGAGTCTCAATATAATAATTTCAAAAAGATATTAATATGGCTTTGTTCAAACCATATTAGGATATAATAGATTGATATCATTAAAAGGGTATTTCACAGTTTCAAACTTTTTCTTTATATTGTTAAATCATAATCATTTATACAGTAGTTTTAAAAATATTGTGGATGAAGGGAAATACAAATCAGACTAGGAACGAGGAGACAAGCACCCCATTCCACAGCACACACTAAATATGGCATTAAATAATAAATTATTCCTCTTGAATTTATTTGCCACCGGTACAATGAAGATATTTATAGCAGAGTACTTTGCAAGTTTCTTAATCCTTCCAGGTATTTCTTTGCAATTTATATATATTGTACTTCAAAGGTTCGTGTTTACAAATACCAATAGGTAGACGAATTTAGATCTATTCAATATTCAAATTCTTAGTGAAATAAATTGCTTCAAAATTGGGCCGGGGTTTTATCTCAGCGATTTCACTGCCTGTTGCGCAAGTGCAAGGACCTGAGTTTGATCCCTGGTAAAAAAAAAAAAAAAAAAAAAAAAAAAAAATTGCTTCAAAATAAAAATAGAGCAATTTAATTGCAATATATGGCAATTTGGAAGACCCAAAAGAACAATCATACAAATGCACCCTTTCCTCACAGTGGCATTACAGAACCATTTTAAGAATTTAAGAGAAAAATCTGACATCGAAAATACCATACTATGCAAACTTTTTCTATTCAATTTTAACTTTTCTGGCTTTGTGTTCATTTTATTCATTAAGAAAATATAACCCACATAGCAGAAACTGCCAAGAATTTTGTTACAAGTTGAACACCTTTAAACTACATGTTAAAACTTTTTCTTATTAAATATTCTTTCTGAATACTGAAAGTAGAAAATTCTCTGGGAAAAAAGAAGAGAGGGTATATGTTCCATTTCCCTCTTAACTCCTTTAGCCCCTCTTATTGTTTTTATGTGAAGCCTCAGAATATATTTTCCCTTTATCAGGAAAATTTAAAATGACCTTCAGAACACAAATTATTTTGGACTCATAATGTGGAAAATACTTTTATATTTAAAAGTTTTTATTAAAGAGAAATAACATTCACAGTATATTAAAATTCAGACAATTTGTCATTAAAAATGATGCCTAGTTACCGAGAGAAATCTGTAAAAGCAACCTAAAAAACTATTAGTAATATTCTCCAAAGAATTACTAACTTATGAATGCAACTAACGAACTATGAACTAATGAACTTATGAGCTAATGAACTTATGAGCTATTATTAAAAGTATCCATTATTCATAGGTTTTGTCTCTGTGAAACCAAAATGCACATTGAAAATATTTGGGAAATATATTACAAATATACAGACTTCTTTTCTTATCATAATTTCCTAAACAATATAGGACAGCAACTAGTTATATAACAATTATATTGGACTAGGTATTTAAAGTCATCTAGAGATGATTTAAAATATATAAGGAGGGTTGAGGTTGTATCTCAGTGGTAGAGTACTTGCTTAGCATGCTCAAGTGCCTACATTCAAAAAATAACAAGAGATAACAAAAAGAGAGGGTGTATGTAGGTTATATGTCAGTATTATCGCTTGTTATGTAAGGGAGTTGAGCACTGCAGATTTTGATATCTCAGGGTGCCCTGGAGCCAGTTTCCCACCAACACTGAGGGACAATTGTACTTCATACATTACCCTACCTGTATATTATAGGGCAAATAGTAGAACTATAATATTTTATAGAATTGTTTCTTAATTAAATTTTTCTAGAATATTATTAATACTCAGAGAGAATCTTGGAAAATTTGCTTTTGTAGTATTTCATTCCAAACTTTACCAATAAAAGTACATGTGGGCTGTACTTTGCCAGTGTCTCCTCCCTGGCTCTGAGTCAATACTGATCTAAAATTCAGCTGAGTTCCCTTGAATCCTCTTTATTCCAAGGCTATCTATGTTTTGCTTTACCTACGGAAATGAAGAAATTGCTCCAATCAGTTCCATACAACTTGGGTCACTTGACTCCGAAGGCAGTGCTGTTTGCGCCTAGACCTCACATTCCTTCTGAAAACAAAGATATTGGCCAGCAATTGCAGCTGATACCTTCACAGGCCTCAGCCCTAGTCCATGATGGGTGCTTGAAGAGCAAAGAATACCAGTCTGTCTTCTCTGTTCCTCCCATGTTCGGTAGATGCAGTTACCTTCCACACATCCATCCTTTCCTTCAGCCAAGGCTTCGGATCCACTCAATATTGTACCAGAAAATCTGTGCCTGCAGGTTTGAGTACTGTTCGAATGACTGCCCACACAGGCCATGGGCACATACAAAAGTAACTGTCTTCATAGACTTGATAAAATCTAGGTATCACCACATGACCCTATTCTTGGTTTTGATACTTTTGCCCATGATATGGAAAAGTACAGAAAAGTCACATTAGGTGGCATGCCAGTGCATCATGCTGTTAGCAGTTCATTCAGCTCTTCTGTGAAGGATATATTTTTAAACTCTACCTGACCTTAAGGGATAAGCCAGAAAAGCAAGTCTGTTCTGACCCCTGATGCTCCAACAGCAGTTATTGTGTGACCCTTGTCACTCACCTTAACACAAGGCACCTCAGGCAGCAAAATGCAGGATTTTCACACCAGTGATAGAGTTTGACAAGAAAACAATGATGAAAGAAGGAAAAAAGGAAGGAAATAAGAAAGCCCAAGTGCTTCAGTAATAATAAATGTATTTTGATACATTATTTGCTTCTGTTTCTGAAAAAACTTCACTCCATTGTTTAACTGTGTGTTTTCTAACTTCTAATCTGGGGAGACGGAGGAACCTGTAAATCAATTACAGATAATGCTCATAACACTGTCTTTTACAATAGACATGTGTATCTCATCCTGTACTTTTTGTGGACCTCAGAAAGTATACATAAGAATATAGAAAATGTTTTTTAGTTATGATTTAGTAAAATGGTTTTAGGAAAAATGTTTATACTTCATAATATTTAAATGAGTTTATTAAATTGTATTTCACTTGGTGATTATACTGTCAATTAACTCTGAAAGAATATATTCCTAATTTTTTTCTTTTGAAAGTATTATTTAAATGACATTTTTACATTTTTTCTGTCATGGAAATTTTGCCTCCAATATTTAATGGTAACACATGAAAAACATGTCATGTTTGTACAGAACAAATTATCTAAAATGAGATGTTTACTGGATAGGTCAAAAGTGGGCATTTCCTTTTTATGCATGATTTGCACTTAATTTTTATTCCTTTATAAATCAATATGGCACTGTTAATCTGATTGTTTCTCATTCTGTAGATCTTTAAGCAAGCAACTTTAAAAGCATTGAGGAGAAAATCCATTTTGTTAACTGGTTATCTGGAATACCTGATCAAGCTTTACTGTAGCAAAAAGAAAGCAGAAATCAAGGGACCAGTTGTGAACATAATTACACCATCCCATATAGAGGAGCGGGGCTGCCAGTTAACACTAGCGTTTCCTAGATCCCAAAAAGATGTTTTTGAAGAACTACAAAAAAGAGGCGTGGTGGTAAGTGTATTGCTTGTGTTGTTCTCAATTTTCTCTTTCTGGGGATAAAGTTTGGATTCTTAGGTTTCTTCATTGTTGTGTATCATTTCATAGTAATCAGTCAGTTGAGAAAATTGTCGATTAAACATTCATCACCCACCGTGCAAATCGAAGGGTACTAAGATCTGTCCACCTGTCAGTTCTAATAAGTTCAAATTTTGGTTACAAGAAATACTTTTTACATAACTTACTAATACTTTTCACAACTGTTAGGGCAAAATGAAATTATTTCATCATAGTAGATTAGAACATATTTTTCATCAACTCACTAGTTTTGAATCATAAAATCCCCAATATATATTTATTTTATATACAAAGTGAAAGAACATAATATAGTAAAACAAACAAAAAAGCAATCAGCCTTATTTATTTGCTTGATTGTACTGTTATTTTTACTCTTGTCAATTTCTCAAGGACAGTAACACTAAAAGAAATAATGGTTTGTTTTTCTTCTCTTTTTTTGTAAACTCATAGCCCTAAATGGCATTCTTAATCTCTTGAAAAGAGCTAAGAAATTGTTAATTGACAACTTCAGGGGAAACGGCAATATATTTCTTTTTCTTTTCTTTCTCTTCTTTTTTTGGTACCCAGGATCGAACTCAGGACCTTGTGCTTGCGAGGCAGGCAGCAGTACCACGGACCTAAATCCCCAGCTATATCAAAAGATGATATAATTTAGACATTGTTCCACTCATGTCACTCTCAAATCTTTAGGAAAAGTCACCTCAGATTCCAGAGGCACAAATCAGAAAATCAGAATTGCATACCTACCTGAGCTTTTTCTAAGCTGAGTGTTCTTGGGAAATTTCATGAAGATCTGTTTATTTAAAATTTCTCATCTGTATTTTGGGGGAAGTTAATGAGACAGCACACAGATATATACTCCATTATACAGCCTTTAATGGTTATTTCTTAAAGTCAACCCTGCTGATCTTCAGGCCAGGTCAAATTATCTGGTCCTAATTCAGGACCTAGCAACATTCCCAGAAATATACCCAACTCATTATTGTGGGATCAGAGAATTGAATTTGAGGATAATATGCTAAAGCTCTCTAAATCCCTGTGACATTCATATTCACTTAAATGTGTCCAAGGGCTTTATCTCCTCCAGAGTTTCCTCTCCGCAAAACTGTAATAGGATCTACTATCAGCAGTCTCTAATGTTTTGACACCATGGATTGCTTTCATGGAAGATAATTTTTCCACAGTCAGATGAAGTGTGGGCATGTGGCAAGATGGTTTGGGGATGATTCAAAGGAGCACACAACCCACATCTCTCAAGTGTATAGTTCACAGTAGAGTTCCTGCTCTTATGAGAAGCCAGTGCCCCACTGAGCTGACAGGATTCAGAACTCAGCATTGAGGGGTAACTAGCTTGCCAGTCCACCTCCTGCTGTGCAGCCTGGTTCTGATCACCCATGGGTCAGGACAAGTCTGTAGCCAGGGGTTTGGGGACCCTTGATCTATTTAATGCTAATAGAAGGTAATTGCTGAGTACAGTTCAACAAAGAGCTTTGGCTATTCATGTTCCAACTTATTATTATTCAAATGGTCATTAAGAAGACAATTTCAAAAAAACCCCAAATACCATATCTTACTTAAAGTGACAAAACTTACTTATATATTAGGGTTTAGGGAAGTCAGTGTGAATGCTTCCTGAAAGTTGATCTTAAGTGTAGATTTTTAGTAAGTGAAAAGTGCTAATAATATTTTGACCTTATCTTATTTTTTTCCTTAGTGTGACAAGAGAGAACCCCATGGCATTCGAGTGGCTCCAGTGCCTCTCTACAATTCTTTTCATGATGTTTATAAGTTTGTCAAGTTGCTCACTTCTGTACTTGATTCTGCATAAATAAAAGATTAGCAATGTTTTGTTAAAATAACTTTAGCAAATTTTTCTGAAAGCTATAATAGCATTTTTACTATTCACATTGTAATTATTAAGAAATATTCAAACATTGGTTGACTGTCACTGGTAACAAATCATATATGTTACAGAAAAATCTGATTTTTCCAAGTGACTATGGTCCTGAGGAATGCACAGGGCTATCTTCTTTCTTGATGTTTGACAAATCCTTAGGGTTTAAATTTTCTATTAGCTACCACATTTCACGGGCTTTGAAATGATTTTGTTGGTTTAATTATAATCCAACTGACAGCTTCATAATGTACGTGGAATTCTTGGGACAATGTTGGAAATATTCCTTTAATATTAATTTACCAGGGTTTTTTTTAAATAATTGTAGTTGAACAATCTGTTTTATGTATGATTTTATAATGTTCTATCCAATTTGAGGAAAATACATTTTCTATGACAGTGGCTTTCAACTGTGTTTTTGTTCACAATCTACACTAAAATATATTTAATATCAAAGATGAGTATTAATTAATGCCATTATAATTAATTATAGACCACATGTGATATTTGTGTCACATTTTATCAACTCCAAAAAGTGACATGTATTTCCATTTTCAATAATTAGCTTCTTAAAACCACCATTAGCCTTTATTTTGCATTACCATCTCTCACAATGAATGTGTAACATCTCAGGTTTAATTTTAAAATAGTAGGTGTAGGAAAAAAACATTCATAAAATGTCTGTGCTCTGATATTTATCACTGTAATTTATCTCTTTCAAGAAATGCTGTTTGAAATTAAATTGATATCCCCACTCACTTTTGTCAGTAGTTAATATTTTTCCAAAGGTTGTCCTTTATTTTATATTACCATAATCTCTTCTTTTCTTATGGAAACTTACTCTGAGAAAAGTTTAGGGCCAGGGATTTAGCTCAGAGGTGCTGCCACCTGCCTTGAAAGCACAAGGTCGGAGTTTGGTTCCCAGTAACCAAAAAAAAAAAAAAAAAGAGTCGAGACTCTTCCAGATACTAGTGATTGAAGATTAGAATTAGGAAATGAGGGTTTCATCTTTTGGCCTCTTTATCCCACATATACGGGTCTTTCTTATTCACCATGAAAAGCAAAGTTAAACACAGCCCTGCTGGATTTCCCGTTTTCAGTGTTGATGCCACAATGTGTTTATGAATTAGCATGACATTCTATATTTGCACATGAAACTAGTAAGAAAGAGTGATTGCAACATAGACATTGCTGTTCATTCGATAAATGTGAACAAAATAAAGAGACAACTACTTTACATGGCAATGTGAAGTAGCGTGTGAAATCCAACACCAACAACTTACAATATCGATGATTGCTTGTACGTGGAAAACATGTGCAGGTTGTGCTGTACCATTTATGTTATCTCACTTAACCGAGCGATTACATAGTTGCCTTAGCAGAGCTTCCCACTCAGTCATGTGGTGAAACTCACCTTCATTGATGGGAGAGTTCTGTAAATATTAGAACTCAACCATGTGCGGCTTCATCTAGAAAGAGTTGTTTCAAGTCTTACAGTGGGGAACAAAATAGACACAGTTTCAGCTCTCAAGGAATACTGTAGTTAGCTTAGTAAGAGGAACAGATACTCAATGTGGAAACACCCAAGAAAGTGTACAACTACAAACTATAACTCCTATGAAAGAGTAGATACTATGAGTTAGGATACTGAATGAGTTAATAAGGGAGGCAACTGAGGAAAAGTGCTGAGGGTGCTTATGAAGTTATGCTCTAAACTATTTCATGTTAACCACATTAAAAGCTTAGCTATTTGTATATAAATCATTCAAAGCATAATCAGCACCATGTGCTGGTCTCCCAAGAAATAGAACACTGGAAATCCTCCCCTCCCAGCTTACCTTCCTTTCCCTCCCCAGATACAGAGATAACCAGAAAGTTATATTCTGTATAAATCATTGCTTACATTTTAAAGTTTTACACTTAAGTAGGTACCCACAAAATACTCTAGCTGATTTTGCCTATTTACAAACTTCGTATAAAAGTAAAGATCCTGTACATATTCTTCTGCTGCTTTTGTTCAACATTGTGTTTTGGTGAGTTTTATCCATTTGTGAACTTTTTCATTGCTACATAGTATTCTATTCTGAATTTTTATGCTAAGTTGAAACAAACTTTTTAAAGAGGTGGTAAATCAAATTTAAAATTGTTTTTCTATGGCTGGGGATTGGCCCCAGGTCTTCTCACTTGCTAGGAATGTGCTATGCCACTAACCTATATCCCAAACCCATTTTTAAATTTTAATACTTCTAAGAGTAATTTTATAAGTGATGCGAGGTGTTAAATTTATTCCATATTCACCCATACAGATTATTTGTATAGTGTGTATTTCAATATGTTAATTTCCTATACACACATAGCAACACAAATACACAGGCACACACGCATATATATACACACACACACAAACACACACTGGTGTGTGTGCTTTTTTCTGGGCTACCTGTACTTTGTTTAGGGTACTTTGTTTCTTCTTTTCTCAATTCTACATTGCCTGAATTACTATAACATAGTCAGGTCTGGCATCTGCTAGTTTAATTTTTATCTTCTTTGTGTAAAGATTATCTATTATCCAGAGCCCTTTTATTTTTACTTATAAATTTAGAATATATCTAAATAAATTTAGAATGGATTTATTGTGCTTCCTAAAACTCCTGCTGAGATTTCATTGAATGGCAATTAAGTTTTAGTTCAATTTTGGAAGAATTGACTCATTTCATGTTGTGATTTCCTACCCAAGAATATAACATTTATCTCCATTTATTTATGACTTTTTAAATGTTTTTCAAATATTTTATTTTCTCATTAATGAACTGCACATTTATATAGTTTAAAATATTCTTAAGCGTTTTATAATTTCATTATTATTTGACACATTGTCTTTTATAAAATGTAATGTTTAACTCATAGTTGGCACTATATAGACATAGACTGAGACTGATTTTTTCTATGTTCAGAATTCTAACTAAATTTTAGTCACTTAGTTATGCAGTGTCTTTATGTAAGAAGTCATTATCTGCAAATAAACTTTCCATTTCCTTTCTAATTTTCCTGTATTACTTCTTCTGAGTTTTTCTTTTGAACTCTTTAATGCTTTTATCTTCAGTGATTTGTAATTTTATTATTCTTTACCTAAGAAGGTATTCACTTTTTTATTTACTGTACTTCTAAAATTTGATAATTAATTTAAATTTCAGAAAATTTTAAGATATAATTAATTCAAACATTACTTTTTCATTATTTCCTTTTGAAACTCCAATAAGGTGCAAGTTACAATGTTTTCATTCTTATTAATCTCTCTAATTTCCCTCTCATCTTTTCTGTTTCCTTGAATTCCCAGATTGTGCTCCTGATTAAAAGTTTTGAAACTTATTTTTAATTTTCTGAAACTGGGATTGAATTACATTTTAAATTACCTGACTTTTTAAAATCACTTGGTTACTTTGAATGTTTTGGGCCTGCATATGTTTTCAAGCCCTTGCAGTAGGGGTCAGGGTCCTGCTCTTATTCCCCTTACCAGTTTTTGAGTGGCATCTGCGAATAGCTTACACAGAGCTGTCTCCCTTCTCTACGGGATGATAACACACACTATGACTGACGACTGACTGACTGACTGACTGGAAAAAAGAAAACCACCTTGAAAATGTTACAAAAATCCCTCACCTATTGTAGGAAGGAAGAGTGAGGAATTGCATATTGCAGTTTATGCTTCACAAACTTCCTTTATTCAATGGATTAAGACAAGACTCAATGTATCTGAGACTTCACCTTGTTCAGCTTTTTTCCCCTTTCATAGGATTATTCACTTTCTCCTTTCCAGGTTTTTCAGACTTATACAAATCCCTTTATCAAGCTTTGTGTCTAGGGAACCCAATGTAATACCTCATTTCCTTCAAATATTCTTTTCTTCTTTTTGGTACTGGGGATCAAACTCGGGTCCTTGCACTTGCAAGGTAGGAGGTTTAACCACTGAGGTAAATCCCCGGCCCTCTTCAAATATTCTTAATAATGATAAGTATTTTATAGTTTGTATTCTTTAAATGTTTTATGACCTTACCTCTACCTCTTAATCATAATCACCCTTTGCCATATAAGTTAAATATCCACATATCTGAGATAAATACTTGAATATCTTGGTAATTATTAATCTTGAGTAAGAAAGCAGTAAAAGAAGAAAGGAAAAAGAAAGGGAGGAAGCAAGGAAGCAAAGAGGGAAGGAAGGAAATGATAAAATCTTGAGAAGTTTGAAAACAGGGTGATGATATTTGAGATTCTCTCTATTTTTGTTAATCTTTGAAAATTAAGGAAAAAATAACAAACAATGATGATTTAAATGAAAATCCGTAACAATTGCCTCAAAATTCATGACTTCAATAAAATCATATATATAACTTTTTTACCATATCTTATTATAATCAAAACAATCCCTTCTGTCTGCATATGTAAAACAAATCTATAATTTTCTTAAGATAGAATTTTGTATTAATTTAGGGTCTTTAATTTGGAATCAATCTCTAGTGGTTAGAAGACTGTTATATTTTGTGTCTAGATGTTCTCCCCCCAAAGACTCAGGCTCACAGATGGGGCTTTGGGAGGGCGTGGGGTGATTGGATCATGGGGGTGTGATATTCACCAGTGCATTTGTCCACTGGTGAGTTTATAGTTGACCATGATGATCAGAGGTAAAGCATATTTGGAGGAGTTGGGTCAATAGGGTTGTGAACTGGTGGGTTGTATCTCTTTCCTTTTTCCCTTGATCACTCTTTTGCTTTCTGCTGCTATGCTTGCTGCTATGCTGCTATGCCACGGCTCTTTCTCTTGTGCTATGCCACTCTGCCAAACCACCTTGCCTTGGAGCCAGATGACTATGTACTGAAACCTCTACAAACTGTCATCCAAAATACACCTTTTTCTATAGAGTTGCAATTATTGTATCTCAGCTCTGAGAAAAGTATCTAAGATAGATACAAAAGATGGAAACATTAGACTTGTTATTTATAAATACTTGGGAGGTAAATAGTGAACCTGGATCACATACACACACACACACACACACACACACTTGAACACACACTCTAAGGTCAGTGAACAAGTGAAGAAAGAAAGATGTTCATAAACCATGGCCTTTATTAGGTCCAGGATTTTATTCAAACGGATTTCCCACAGTGAAGTTTAATTGGTCAGTTTAAAGCAAATATGTACAAGTTCCAAGAGGTTCACACAGTGACTAAGTGGTGGTCAAAATGGCATATCCCCACAGTCTATGAAAGGTGTAGATCACAGTGGTGAGTCACACAGGTTGTATCTTTCTGTCTCTTGGTGGTCTCTGTGTGAAGCCATGCATATTATATCCTGACAAAGAATGTATCTATACTTTACCCTTGTCCTGAGACTTAGCAGGAAACTGAAACTAAATGTAATGAACTAATTAATCTTGCAGAGGAGATTTCCATGCAGCCCAATGTTCAGATTGTGGCATAGGTACTGCTGGCTCCTTTTAGCTATATCTACAATCAGAAATAAGAATAAAAACTCTAAGAGAAAAGTTTGAAGTTTCCCCAGAAAGGAAGAGCTTAAAAAGTTGCAGACAAAAACATGAATATTAAAAAGAAACCAAATCCAGGAATCTAGCTCAGTGGTGCTGCTGCCTGCCCTGCAAGTGCAAGGACCCGAGTTTGATCCCTGGTATCAAAAAAAAAAAAAAAAAGAAGCCAAGCATCAGGACAATAGAAAAGTTAGTCTGAAGGCATCTCATGAATTG